CAAGCATGGCTATATACACAAGGCCAACACTTTTGATGGAAATAAGGTTATAGGATTATTTAAATCTTCTATTTACAAAGCATCATAATCTACATATTTGCTTGTTCTAAGGCTTGGATCTCTATATAATAGAGCTTTACAAATTATGGCTGCAGGGTGTGTAGCCCAAACCTTTGCTATAGCCCCCTGAAAAATCTGTTGACAAACTTTGTTAACCCATCCCCATTGCTATTACCCTGCAGTGGCACAAAATAGTGTAACTCATGCTGGTCATGGAGTAAGGTGTTGTGCAGTTTCCTCTGGTGACTGGAATAGATCAGGACTGGCCACTGTTCTACCCAGCTGGAAGTTAAGTTCCATGCATATACAACTAATTTTCTTATCACACAAAGAAAGAAACAAAGCAAGCAACACTTTTCTCCTGCTCAGCTACTGCATTTTCAGCTGCCTTGTCCACTGCATGAGGACAATGGTGACTTTATTTCTATTAGCCTTTACTTTTATTTTTGAAGTGAAGGTTTGCTGAAGTGGTGCTCAGATGTTGCTGTCTTGATTTACTGCTTTCTTGGCCAAGCAAGTCTACTTTTCATTTGTCTATTCACAATTGCTCATTTTTCCAGGAAGAAGAGAGTGACAAAATAAGAAATGGTAACACAGACATGTGTGCAAGAAAAAGAGAGAAAGCGCTCTCGAATAATGGAATTGGTAATTAAAAAAAATATCTTGGGCCAGTTGATTAACAGATCAAGAACTATTTCTGGATGTTCATGATTGCTAGGAGATATTGGGAGATGGGCAGGCATTGCGTCTGATTTGTTCCCCTGATTCCCACTGATAGAAGATCCCCAAAGGTCCTGGTTGCAGGAGAACTGCCTCCAGAGATTTGCCTGTGTTGTTGTTGTTGTTAATTGCGAAGTTGTGTCTGACCCATCGCGACCCCATGGACAACATTCCTCCAGGTCTTCCTGTCCTCTACCATTTTCTGGAGTCCATTTAAGTTCACACCTACTGCTTCAGCGACTCCATCCAGCCATCACATTCTCTGTCGTCCCATTCTTCTATTGCCCTCAATCTTTCCCAGCATTAGGCCCTTCTCCAGTGAGTCTTTCCTTCTCATTAAGTGGCCAAAGTATTTGAGTTTCAACTTCAGGATCTGGCCTTCTAAAGAGCAGTCGGGGTTGATCTCTTCTAGGACTGACCGGTTTGAATGCCTTGCAGTCCAACGGACTCGCAGGAGTCTTCTCCAGCACCATAGTTCAAAGTCCTCAATTCTTTGGCGCTCAGCCTCTTATGGTCCAGCTTTCACAGCCATACATTGCAACTGGGAAAACCATGGCCTGGACTATATGCACTTTTGTTGGCAGGGTGATGTCTCTGCTTTTTAGTATGCTGTCTAGTTTTGCCATAACTTTCCTCCGCAGGAGCAAGCGTCTTTTAATTTCTTGGCTGCAGTCCCCCTCTGAGGTGATCTTGGAGCCCAGAAAAATAAAATCTGTCACTACCTCCATTTCTTCCCCATCTATTTGCCAGGAATTGAGAGGGCCGGATGCCATGATTTTGGTTTTCTTAATGTTGAGTTTCAAGTCAACTTTTGCACTCTCCTTCTTCACCCGCATCAAGAGGCTCTTTAGTTCCTCTTCACTTTCTGCCATTAGAGTGGTATCATCTGCATATCTTAGGTTGTTGATATTTCTCCCGGAAATCTTAATTCCAACTTTTGTTTCATCTAGCCCTGCCTTTCTCATGATGTGCTCTGCATATATACCTCTGTAAAAACCAATGTAAGTTAATATTCCCACAGGATGAAGGAGATACTATGAGGATTCTTTAGGATGAATTGACAACAGTTATATAGATACATGGTGTGCAAGGAATAGTCAACTCAGAAATTTTAAAAAAATACTGTATGGGATTGTTATATGTGGGTATGTTTATATGCATTAAGAAGGGGGAATCATTGTATATACATATGTATGTGCGAGTACGTTTGTGCATTTAGAAATAAATGTATTTAGTAATTCAATTTGTTAACAGAATGAAATCACATAAATGGAATTTAATTGATATAATTTCTACCACGTCTTCACTCATTTTTTGGAGTGTGGCACCTGGAATAGCACTCAAAACCAAGTAAGTTCTTCACGTAACTCCTGGTTTTGAGTGAACAAGAAGTTGTGCCATTTGAACACTGTCATGATGCATTATAATTGTGTTAACAGAGTACTAATAGGCTCCCCAGTATGTATATTCAGAATGAAATAGAGCGGGATAGCTTGAGGGCAACATCCTCAAATGTTGGCCCAGTCCCTGGAAGATGTAAAGTTTTGAATGGGAAAGAACCAACTTCAACTCAACCCTAGTAAGACAGCGTCATTCTGATTTTTTGGACATCCTGAATCCAGTGATATGTAATCTTTGATTCTTGGACAGAGCTGGTGTATAATTTGGGAGTCCCCTGGATTTAAAAATTCCTGCTCAAGGAGGAAGTGGCAGCCATGACTGAGGAACCTTTGCAGAGATCCATCTTGTGGGCCAACTGTAGCCATTCCTGGAGCAGGAGCCCTTGCTTACAGTCATGTATGCCCTGTCAGTTCTCTGTTGGATTACTCTACATAGAGTTTCCCTTGAAAACCATCAAGAAACTACAGCTGGCGTAGAACATACCAACCATTGCTGCTTAAACTGGACTGGCTTCCAGTTTCTTTTCAGAAGCAATTCAGTGTGTTGGTTATCACCTTAAAAGCCCCAAATGAGACAAGGCTACTTGTGGGGTTTCCTCTCCTTATGCCTGTTCCACCAGGCCAGATAACATTGGTGTTACAGCTCCCTTCCCTTAAATGTTGTCATCTAGTGGAACCTGGGGAAGTGAACCTTTCTCTGTAGCTGTCCTGGCCTTGTGGAATAACTTTTCCCCAGAGATCCAAGCAAGTGACCGATGCTGCTTATCTTCCAGGAGGCCTTGAACAGTTGGCTGTTCCCACAAGTGATAGGGTAGAGTGAAGCTAGAGCCCTGTAAAATTGATGTATTAAAGAGGTACCACACATTTTGATTTAGCTTTTGTTAATTTTTATTCAGCTTGTTTGAGAGATTTTGTTGTTTTTACTGCTTTATGCACTGCCTTAGGCTATGATCACAATATGGGTGGCTAAATGAGCCTTTTTTAAAATAAATAAATAAAATGTCTCACAAGTAGACTTTCGTTGTTCAACAAGATTTTTTTCTCCTTGTACCCACTCTCAGATCTGTTCCAGATTTAAATTATTGATTTCCAGGACCCAGTAAAAGTAATAGTTAGAAGTGTAATTTTTCTTGTTCCACTGATTGAAATTGTTCTGTTTGTAGATGAGACTAATTGCTAAATTTTTGAATAAAGCTTAGTTACTAGGAAATGATTGATAAATATTATCCAATTTAAAAAGTCCACTAAAAGAGGAGACATGACAATTGCTGTTAAAATCATTATAATATGTATGTGTGTATGAGAGACAATATAAGGTTTCTGTCTTTCAATATTATTCTTAAAATATGATTTATATTATTGTTTAAAAACCAACACATTGCTACTTCATGCAATTACTTAAGCATCTTTCAAGCCTTACAAGCACAGTGGTCTAGAAAATGATACTTTCTAGATTACTGGGCTTAGAATTTTCTTTTAAAATATATTTATAGCTGTCAGGTCCCTTTTTAGAATATGATGATCATGTTCTGGATGTAGATTTTATTCAGGATTTCTATTATTTTCAACTTTGGTTAAGAAAATGCAAAGAGGTGGATTAGAAAGCTACCTGGCACTTCATGGCTTTCCCCTCCAAACTCATGCTTTCAGTAAAGCCTCTAAACTAATTAGAATTGATTTATTATGGATCAGGTACCTTATCAGGTAAAGAAGGAAATTACCATGGTCAGTCAAAGGGTTAGGAGGTCAATACAGAATAGCAAAATCAATTTAAATTGATTAGACAAAAGATCCATCTCACACATTTTACAGAGCCCAACGGATTAACTTTTAAGTAAACATCTTTGAACTGTAAAGACAGAATTTGAGGTTGAAAGATACAAGTAATGACAGATTTATTTTTTTAAAAAAAAACAATAAGCAGGGTGCATTTAAATAACTAATAAAGTAAAACTAGTTTAATCTATCTTGATGTTTATTTTTTATTATAAATCATTCCCTGGATGATTACTGTACAGTAATTTAAAGTATCAGGAAGAGTAGGTAATTGTACAATATATCCCTAGGTCAATCTATTCAGAGGTTTCCATTTAGATGAGGTGACTAGCCTGTTAGAAAGCTATAGACCAGTGGTTCTCAACCTTTTTAATGCCGCGACCCCCAACCGGTCGTAAGTTGAGGACTACTCAACCGGTCATAAGTCGAGGACTACTCAACTGGTGCAGCACCGTTTGCAGAATGGGACTTTTGGCGGGCTCAGCAGGGCAGAGACAGCCTGGACAATTCCTATTGGCTTTTGAAAGCCAATAGAATTAGACTCTATTCAAGAGAGTCTATTCTATTGGCTTTCAAAAGCCAATAGAATAAAAGGGAGTAGCACAGCTAAGGAAAAGGGGAAAAAAATGGCGGACTGCGTTGTTTGGCGACCCCCGTGAAATGGTCGTTCGACCCCAAATGGGGTCCCGACCCACAGGTTGAGAACCACTGCTATAGAGAATGAATAAAATATATCCAAAAGATGCTTCTAATTCTTTTGTCCAATGAAGTATTAATTTAACAAAAGCATATTTCCACTGTAGATAGATGAGGCCTGCCTAAAATGTTTACCTTATCAAAATGAAACATACTTTTTCTTTATTTTGTACTGAAGCAAAAATAGCGCTATGTATCAAAATAAATGCCACCCAAATTATCATGAATTTAACTTCATTTTAATAAGGTGTATTGGGAGAGCTACATTTTTCCAGACTCAGGTTTTCAACAATGTCTAAAAAGTTTCTTTTCCACAGAGAAAAATGTATCTTTTAAAGTATTTCTTACCTTCAATAGCAAGCATGGCTCTTAGCTCCCTGTTCAGTAGTTCGTACCGCCTTTCTAAGTCATGTTCTTTTTCCCTAGGCAAATTGTAGAAGTTCATCAATATGTTAATTACTAAATCATTAAATGTTTAAAAGAACCTTTAATTTTGATTGATTTTTAGGACTCTAACTTGACTTTTTCTCTAGGATTAAGCTACTCTAAACAAATGATATGCAAGAATAAAACCGTATTCAGATAGGATCAGTGCTTCCAAATGCTCCTTATATTTACTTGCAACATTCATTGTTGTGCTATTGCACAACAGCATCTTGAAAATGTCTCATTTACATTTCTCTTCAGTTTGTAAATATTTTAAATTTTTATTTCTGGATATTCTGAGGCAAGCTTTGACTTCTACTTGGTAGACCACAATCTGTCTTGGCTCCAGAAGATCCTGTGTTCCATGTAGCGTGTAACCTGGAACCAGTGCTTTGCATTTCACTGCTCTCAGCTAAATATCTTTAACAAATAGTTAAAAGCTAGAAAAAGAATATATATATTCTACCAATTCTACCCTGGTTAAGAAAATATCATTCAATCAGTCTTTTTAAATCCTTTCATTTAAAACTAACTACCAAACTAAGAGCCTGAAGAAAGGATCGAGTCAATCCATTATAATTATAAATAAAACTGGATAATAAGTACTAGATGGAGGAAACAAGTATGGCTACAATGAGAGGTCAGCCTAAATAATCATGGCTTAAGTGCAACTTGTTTCTCCAAGACCCCTATGCATGCTTGGTGCATGCTTTTGTTGGAGCACAGTACATCAAAATAGCAGAGAACCCCAACTATTAAGCAGCCCGAGATTGCTGCTATTGCTTCTGTGATCTGAGTATCAGAGGTGGAAATTCTGGAGTTTGCAGAGTTCAGCATTCCTCATTTTTTAAAAAAATCTTTCTGGAATACTAGCAAGTAATACACTGAAGAGGACAGAAGAACTGCTGTACAGTAATGGTCAGGGCTACCATCAAGACTAATAGCCATCATTGCTTCATGGAAAGACATTCATTTTCGTATGTATTGCACAGAAAAAATGGTGGAATGTGTACCTCAAAACCATCCTGTCAGAGATGAGTGATTTTCTGAAAGGGTCTTGTGTATTTTCAAACAAGGCTTGCCCTTCATTTTTTTTTTTCATTTTTATCATTCATCTGACAAAATAGTTTCACCTTCATTTCCTTTAATAAATAGCTTTACCTGTAGTCCTGTAAAATGATCTTCCACTCTCTGCTCTAGGCCTAAAGCTTTTGTTTAAGAAGTATCGTATAACAATGGTGTTTGATACTTGGAAACCATCCAGTTTGGCAGTTAGTTCAAGATTTATAAACCATGATTCGTGAAGTTGGGAACCCAGATTGACCTCTCCTCCTATAGCACTGTAAGATGTGTATTAGGTATGTGAACCCATTTCATGTTTATGTGAGGAAACTCTGGCTTAGTTCAGTTTACAGACCTGGATAATAACCCAGATATTTTAGGGAACAACTGCCAATCAGAGCATGCAATACTGAATTAGATGCACAAATGGCATGAGCTGGGATAAAGTTCTGGTCTGTATTATTTGTAATGTTGAAACTATTTATATTCTCTTCACTTCCTATACTGGAAATTTCTGTATCTGCCTACAAGTAGGTAAAGTGGGCATAACAAAGAATGCAGACAATGCATATCACTTATGCCTCACTTCTTCCCTACTTCAACTATTATTTAAAATTTCATCTAAATAGGTCACTTTTTCTGATTGTCAGGCCTAGCATTTAATATAAATTGTATTTAGACATTTCCATACCAGAATGTATTCATTTGCTTTGAATATGTATTCACACTTTCCCCCCTATATTATAATCTGGAATACATTTGTCTTCCACTTTATAGGTGGTGGAAAGAGTTTCAGCATTCAATTCGATGGTAAAACTAAGAATGGACAGATTGGCATATTTCTGTTTAGCATAACATTTGTATATAAATCTATTATGTTCTATTTTTTTCATTAATTTTAGCAAATCCTCACAAAACTCCATTATTGTTTTTGCTCAGATAATATGTATTTTGAAATATCTTTTATATTTCATATCTATTTTACTAACCTTATTATTTTTAAATAGACTAAGTAGCACTAACAAACTCAGAAAAGAACAAAGGTCTGAAGACCAAAATGTTCTAATTTGTCCATTGGTCCTGGAAGTGTAAATCAAGTCCATTCTTATCAGGAAATGCAAAGAGTGACTGACTTGTAGGAACTAATGCCTATGTGGGTTAGATCTCTACCGCTCACGTGCAAAAAAACGGTGACTCTCTCAATTAAAGTAGTATGGTATGTAGAGGAACCATTACTTTTCATGTTCCAATATTTGACCATAGTACTATTTTACAGAAGTATGTTTCATAAGCTTCTATCTGAAATGAGTGAAAATTGAATTATTTCTTAATTATTTAATAGATTTTCACTACATGTGAGGAGGTCCCCTTTATGGATTACTGCCTTGTCGTGGCGAAGGGGCTTGCGTAACTCAATGAAGCTATAAGCTATGCCGTGCAGGGCCACCCAAGACGGACAGGTTATAGCAGAGAGTTCTGACAAAATGTGATCCACTGGAGAAGGAAATGGCAAACCACTCCAGTATCTTTGCCATGAAAACCCCATGGACAGTACTAAAAGGAAAAAAGATATGACGCTGGAAGATGAGCCCCTCAGGTCGGAAGGTGTCCAATATGCTACTGGGGAAGAGCAGAGGGCTAGTACTAGTAGCGCCAGAAAGAATGAAGCGACTGGGCCAAAGCCGAAAGGACGCTCAGCTGTGGATATATCTGGTGGTGAAAGGAAAGTCCGATGCTGTAAAGATTTTTTCTCCATAGGAACCTGGAATGTAAGATCCATGAATCAAGGCAAGCTAGACGTAGTCAAAAAAGAGATGACAAGACTGAACATCGACATCTTAGGAATCAGCGAACTAAAATGGACAGGAATGGGTGAATTTAACTCAGATGACCATCAGGTATACTACTGTGGGCAAGAATCCCTCAGAAGAAATGGAGTAGCCTTCATAGTCAATAAAAGAATAGGAAAAGCAATACTGGGATACAATCCTCAAAATGACAGAATGATCTCTATTCGAATCCAAGGCAAACCATTCAATATCACAGTAGTCCAAATCTATGCCCCAACCACTGCTGCTGAAGAGATGAAATTGACCGGTTCTATGAAGCCCTACAGCACCTTATAGAATTAACACCAAAAAATGATGTCCTTATCATCATGGGGGATTGGAATGCTAAGGTAGGAAGCCAAAAGATAACCGGAATAACAGGCAAGTTTGGCCTTGGAGTACAAAATGAAGCAGGGCACAGGCTAATAGAATTTTGTCAAGAGAATACGATGGTCATAACAAACACTCTTTTCCAACAACCCAAGAGACGGCTCTACACATGGACATCACCAGACGGTCAACATAGAAATCAGATTGACTATGTGCTCTGCAGCCAAAGATGGAGAAGCTCTATACAGTCAGTAAAAACAAGACCAGGAGCTGACTGTGGCTCAGATCATGAGCTTCTCGTTGCAAAATTTAGGCTTAAATTGAAAAAAGTAGGGAAAAGCACTAGGCCACTCAGGTATGAACTAAATCATATTCCTGATGAATATACAGTAGAGGTGACAAATAGATTTAAGAAACTGGATCTGATAGACAGAGTGCCTGAAGAACTATGGATGGAAGTTCGCAACATTGTACAAGAGGTAGCAACTAAAACCATCCCAAAGAAAAAGAAATGCAAGAAAGCAAAATGGCTGTCTGAGGAAGCTTTGCAAATAGCTGAGGAAAGAAGGGAAGCGAAAGGCAAAGGAGAAGAGAAAGATACACCCAATTGAATGCAGAATTCCAGAGAGTAGCTAGAAGAGATAAGAATGCCTTCTTAAATGAACAGTGCAAAGAAATAGAAGAAAACAACAGAATAGGGAGGACCAGAGATCTCTTCAAGAAAATTGGAGATATGAAGGGAACGTTTCATGTAAAGATGGGCATGATAAAGGACCAAAATGGCAGAGACCTAACAGAGGCAGAAGAGATTAAGAAGAGATGGCAAAACTACACAGAAGAACTATACAAGAATGAGCTTAACATCCCAGATAACCACAATGAGATGGTCACTGACCTCGAACCAGACATCCTAGAATGTGAAGTGAAATGGGCCTTAGAAAATCTGAGCAACAACAAAGCTAGTGGAGGTGACAGTATTCCAGCTGAGCTATTCAAAATCTTAAAAGACGATGCAGTAAAAGTGCTACACTCAATTTGCCAGCAAATTTGGAAAACTCAACAGTGGCCACAGGATTGGAAAAGGTCAGTTTACATTCCAATTCCAAAGAAAGGCAATGCCAAAGAATGTTCAAACTATCGCACCATTGCACTCATTTCACATGCTAATAAAGTTATGCTTAAAATCCTACAAGCTAGACTCCAGCAGTATGTGGATCGAGAACTACCAGAAGTACAGGCAGGATTTCGAAGAGGCAGAGGAACTAGAGATCAAATTGCCAACATACGCTGGATCATGGAGAAAGCTAGGGAGTTCCAGAAAAACATCTACTTCTGCTTCATTGACTATGCAAAAGCCTTTGATTGTGTGGATCACAACAAATTGTGGCAAGTCCTTAAAGAGATGGGAGTACCAGACCATCTCATTTGTCTCTTGAGAAACCTATATGTGGGTCAAGAAGCAACAGTGAGAACGGACACGGAACCACTGATTGGTTCAAAATTGGAAAAGGAGTCGGCAAGGCTGTATACTGTTGCCCTGCCTATTTAAATTATATGCAGAGCACATCATGAGAAAGGCAGGGCTAGATGAATCAAAAGTTGGAATTAAGATTGCGGGGAGAAATATCAACAACCTAAGATATGCAGATGATACCACTCTAATGGCAGAAAGTGAAGAGGAACTAAAGAGCCTCTTGATGCGGGTGAAGAAGGAGAGTGCAAAAGTTGGCTTGAAACTCAACATTAAGAAAACCAAAATCATGGCATCCGGCCCTCTCAATTCCTGGCAAATAGATGGGGAAGAAATGGAGGTAGTGACAGATTTTATTTTTCTGGGCTCAAAGATCACCTCAGATGGGGACTGCAGCCAAGAAATTAAAAGACGCTTGCTCCTGGGGAGGAAAGCTATGGCAAATCTAGACAGCATTCTAAAAAGCAGAGACATCACCCTGCCAACAAAAGTGCGTATAGTCCAGGCCATGGTTTTCCCAGTTGCAATGTATGGCTGTGAAAGTTGGACCATAAGAAAGGCTGAGCGCAAAAGAATTGAGGCCTTTGAACTATGGTGCTGGAGAAGACTCCTGCGAGTCCCTTGGACTGCAAGGCGTTCAAACCGGTCAGTCCTAGAAGAGATCAACCCCGACTGCTCTTTAGAAGGCCAGATCCTGAAGTTGAAACTCAAGTACTTTGGCCACCTAATGAGAAGGAAGGATTCACTGGAGAAGAGCCTAATGCTGGGAAAGATTGAGGGCAATAGAAGAAGGGGACGACAGAGAATGAGATGGCTGGATGGAGTCACTGAAGCAGTAGGTGTGAATTTAAATGGACTCCAGAAGATGGTAGAGGACAGGAAGACCTGGAGGAACGTTGTCCATGGGGTCGCAATGGGTCGGACACGACTTCGCAATTAACAACAACAACAACAACATGTGAGGAAATATTCTGAAATATTCTGCACCAGAGACAAATTCCTTGTGTGTTTATTTATACTTGGCCAAATAAAGCTATTCTATTCTATTCTATTCTATTCTATTCTATTCTATTCTATTCTATTCTATTCTATTCTGTTCTGTTCTGTTCTGTTCTGTTCTGTTCTGTTCTCTTCTGTTCTGTTCTGCTATTTTCTGTTCTGTTGTTTTCTGTTCTGTTCTGTTCTACTCTGCTCTGCTCTATTCTATTCAGCAGTAGTTCTCAATCTTTTCTTCACTATGGAGCCTTTTAAACACCTTTTCTGGCCACAGATCATGGCCATGGACCCCCAAGAGTTAACTTAAGATTTAAATCATAACATTTATTCAAGCCTTTCTGGACTCCCTGTGACGTCCACAGACCATAGGTTGAGAACCACTGCTACAAAGTATTCTAAAAGGAAGCAGAAAAATTACCAGCTTTTGCATTGTCATTCATAAATCAAGACATACTTACAGAAGAGAAAGTTGATTCATTCTTCTTATCAAGGCATTTTTCTTATTGACTAACATAAACCATTCTTGCATCATAGCTTCTTCTTCTTCAGTATTTCTTCCTATTAAAACATAGTTTGATTTATATTTTAAAGACTCAGTGATATGTCAGCGTAATTTTTATTTAGCACAGAGTTTTCAGCCTCATTAAAAAAAAATCCATGTACAGGATCCAAAGAGCTCAGTGATATGCCATTTCACCCTAAGCTTTCCTTTTGACAGCAGTCCTCATCAGTGTCTAAAAGCTGCTCTCAATATTATTTGGCTCATCCAGACTGCAAAACACTATCACGGAAGAAAAAAAGTTCCAATTTCTTATTGAGCTATTTAGCTGAGGCATTTAATATAGTCTCTTCAATCAGTTCTATTGAAGGTATAGTTGGAAAACAACAAGAAGTTAATAGCTAGCTAAAGCAAATTCAACAATTTTAGGCATATTGTTAAAATCTAAAAAGAACTAATTAAAAATATTTTAGAACTTCAAAAAATATTTTGGAACACCAACAAATAAACCATAAACATTACTTGTTTATAAAGCCTATTTCAACCACTGTATTATAAAAACCTTGCCCACTTTCAAAAGAATAAAAACAAAACTAGCCTGACTTCCCTTGACAAGGACTTTGAAGGAATTATTGATTGGTTCCCCTCTTGCTTTCTTGTCAGATTAGAAGGGCTGTGGATTAGAAGGAAAAACGGTGCTTTGGAAGTGCTCAAGTAAGTTGTGTCCATAGCTCTGTGAAGCACATCTTCCTTTTCCTGGGAGCTCACATCTTCCTTCCATAGCCAGTGGAAGAGATCACTGTTTAAGGGGTTGCCAACAGGGTAAAACACGTACCCATAGCATGTATACCCAAAACATCTTTTCCCTTTAAATTTGAAGTAATTATAGTACCAAAATTACTCTTGTGATTACAGAAGGAGCATCTTCCAAGGATATTAAAATTGAATAGGTATATTATTAGAGAATGAGGATTTCCAAACACTTTGTCATATTGTTTCATTGATCAGAGTCAGCTAGTTAAACTATATCCCAATGGCCTATAAAGCCACTGAAATATGAAAGTTACATGTTTCTTAGAATGGCCTCTGTTAAAACGTTTTGCAGAATTCATTACAGTTTTCCAAATGGAATATCGCTAGCGCATGTATTATCACAGTCACCCAGGACATCTCTAGAAATTGGGGGGGGGGGGAATTCATGAGTTAGGCTTGATTGACCCAAGGTTCAGAGACGATTCCAGGAATTTGTCCATGATATGAATCTGAGTTTGCCAGGAACATTCTCAAGATGTGAGCTTTGCAAGAACAGTATAATGTAGATTAACTTTCTGCTACTTCAACAGACTTTTAATTGTCAGAGCACTTCTATCTTCCTGTGGTTAACATTTCTTGGTTTGTTGCCTCAAATGAAATAGAGAGGGTGGTGCAAATGAAAAAGATGAGTTACTTTCTAAAACCAAAAATGTTACTCTCATAGTTAGATTCTCATAGGTATTTTTATTATAATGTATAATATAATTTGAAGGGTTTCTACAATGGAGACAATCAGGGAACAGTAAGGACTTTTAATGCTAACTGACATAAGCACCGTAAGTCTCTTTATTGATTCTGGATCTTCTTCAAATTAAGAATATAGCTATTTACAACAAGCCACAAGCCACATAAATCTTATATATTTGTATTCAAAGGCTTTAAAAAATCAAGTGAAACCATTAAATAAAACCAAATCCCAGTGAGTTATGTCAATAGGGGACAAGATGAAACTCACAAACTGTATTCTGTGACTTCTTGACTTCTTAGAGATTTTACTATCAAAATTCAGTTGTAAATTGTCAAATAATCGAAGAATGATTTCTTATCATTTTTCTTCCTGCATCCCAATTCCACCCTCAGGAAAACTGTGCAACATCTGGCTCTCAGCATGGTAACTCTGCATTATGCCCTGCCCGCTGCGAACATTGAACACCAAAATAAAATAATGATTAAAAACAAAGCATCTCTGCCACAATTTATCCTCCTCCACTGGACAACATGCTATGTATAAACTAACATTATTATCTACACATCGAACATGAGATTATGGTCCTGAGCAGAGTAGTTTGTCTAAGGAGAACTAATGAGTTAAAATGGAGAGTTTTAGTTAATATTAGTTAAAACATTATTAATGTTAAAGATTGATTTATCGAACATTTTTAAACCAGACACCTACAACTCAGCATTTCAAATGTACCATCATCAGATCTCTATTGACTATGAGGAAATGCAGTATTAAGTAATAATTTATAATACTTCATTTATACAATACTGCAAATCGAAGCTCTAAAAGGTATATGAAGAAAGTTGTGATGCTATTATGTACATACATTGTTATTTTGCACAAAAATGAAACTACAAAAGACCTATGTAAAAATGGCTGTAAACTGTACCAATGTTACAATGACTTTTCTTTTTCATTCAATTAAAAACATTATTTATTCTTTGATAAATTAATTATAAGCTCTCAAAACAAATAAAGAGTTTAATTTAATAAAAAGTGAGCGTTGGGGGTTTCTGTTCCAAAAACAAAGACAGGGGCACAAATGTCTAAAACTCATATATGAATTTTGGTAATCTTGACTGCATTTTTGTAAATGTTGACAATTTGTCAAGACTTGGAACAGCCAAAGAATTCATTTAGCTTTTTAATGCGGTGTCCACCAAACTTTGAAGACTGACTATAACAGGTGTAGCTTTTGCTACTCTGGAAGAGTAATAAAGTTATTTTCTTATTAGTAGATTAGCAGTAAAAACGATAGGTGTCTAGAACTTGCTGCTTTCAATCCCTCATTTATATTAATAACTGCCATTCCCATAACCATGCATTAAATGATGGAACTTTTCCTTAAATATTCCTGCTAAATTTAAAATACACGTGGAGAAAATTATGGTTGTAGTTGTGATCACAAGATATTAGAAATTCTAAGTACTTTCTCTTTTTCTTTACCAATGCCTCTGCCACTTTTTACATTTAATGCAAATATTATTGATGTTTATAAATTGTCCTAAAATCATTACATCACTTTTATAGGTCCATTTGACTACGTGTACACATGCACTAATGCATATTACTGCTTCCCTTCGATGCAGTTCAAATATTTGGATTCAGAAATGGGAAAAATGGAACAAAGAATCCAAAGAAGAATGTCAAAACAGCAATGGTGGACTGTAAGCAAGAAGAAGAAACCAGACCCACTCATATATTTTCAGCCCCTTGTGATGTAAGGGTAGGGAGACTACATGGTGCCATCCAGTTCACTGAGTTTAAACACAAACACAAGACACAAAGACACATGCAGACACCACATGATAATGGCACCAAATTGCTTTGGGACAAAAAGGATTCCAAGTTGTTAGAAAGGACTGGATAGAATGTCTTCTCTTTCTTTCTACTATAATGTCAGTAGTTTGAGTAATTTTGGAGTTAACAACCCAGAAATACCAAGAATTAGGCTTGTAGCACACTTTTCCCAAGGCTGTGAATACTTGATTGTGGGTCTCTGACTGTGTTAAAGGCCCTGTTTCCTGACTGTATTAACATCCGAAAGGAAAATGCATTAGCATCCATTATAACAGTTTTACTTGGAGCCATATATATTTATGTTGTACTCTTTTAACTGTTTTAATGCTTTATGATGTATGCCACCCAGAATCATTTGTTGAGATAGGAGCTATAGAAATCAAATAAGTAAATAAATAAAAATTGTTACTATTGAATATTTCATGCTTTCTCTTTCCTTATAGATTAGAACAAAAACTGGGAAATTTCCTATTGAGGAAATTGAGGAGTTTCAATTCACAAATGAATAGGGAAAGACTATATATCCATTCACAGTAAAGTTATAATGCCACCAGCCTCTACTGCATTTTATACAGCATAAGGTGGCAGATTATTGCGTTGGAAGGATACATGTTCTGAAATTTGACAGCGGAAGAATAGAAGGCTAAATAAAACAGAATATGAAGTCCATTTCACCTATCTTGTCTCAGAGAAAATGAGACCTTCTACAACACAGATGTCATCTAGACATGAAGGACTGTTGAGGAGAATATCACCAGGTGTTTTAGAAAGTATTCCCCAGGAACAGGAATTGACATGAAATAGCTAGATAGACATGATAGTTCTTTGGCCATCAGATTGATCTTGATTTTACTATGGATTGAATGTGAGAACAAAACCAGAGAGAAAAAGAGAGAGAAAGAAGTCCGATAAAATATATAATCTTGACAATAAAGAGAATGATTGGTATTAATAGAGGATAAAATAAATGTTTGAGAGAATATTGCTTGGCCTTGAATATTCTGAGTTTTGAATGATGGTTTAAAAAAATGCAAGAGAGAACTGGTGGTAGGACAAAGTCGAGTAACGGTGATAGGCTGTATGCTACTTTGGCAGGAAAACAATGAGATTCAGTAAAATCAGAATAAAAGCTACATGGGTGAAATGTACTAATGTGAGAGCGGATAAATTAATGAATTTTTTTTATGATAAATATCCTCACAAGCCTCGAGGGAATACTTAACCTGCTTTTTCTTTCTCCTACAGGAGATTCTTTCATTCTGTCAACTCTACAAATGAGCATGGCTGCAGCCATTTTTCCTTACTCATTTTCGGTTGCCACATCGAACAGAGGGAGGAGGGTTGCCTAGGTGCTTTGCTAGTCAAAATAATCTTTTGTCCTGTGGGAACCAAGGTCATCGGCTGCTCCCAAGACTGCAGGCTGGGCATTGTGAAAAAGGCCCACCAAGAAGATGTACTGGGGAACATAGTTGCTTGCATAGTTTTAGAGGGATTTTTTAACTTTTAACTTTGTATTGGGGAATTGTTACGTGCATCTCCAGACTTGATTTCACTTTTGACGTGCCGATATTTTGTAATAAACATGTTCTTTGAGGAATTTGCGAGCCTCAGAGTTCTGCTTTATACGTCTCTGTCGGTTAGAATCATGACAAATGGGGCAAGAGGATTCCCAATAATAAGCGGGAAAGCAGCTGTAAAGTTTTACTCTCTCACAGTAACATTGAAAATGGTTAAATAGTTAGAAAGAGAGAAAAGCTTTTGGATGATAAAATCACAAGAGAAAGAAATTAATTGTAAGACATCAAGAAGAATGAAGACCAAGCAGACCCTCTTAGGTATTAAACTGAGGAGATGACCAGGGATATTGTGAACAAAGCTTCAATACGGTGGAAAGGATGGAAGCTAGACTAGAAGAAGACAAACAAAAAGTGGCACTGATAAAAAGAAAACAATTGTAGCAGTACCACTGGGATGCCACAAAACTTTAGAGCCAAAGTATAGAGGAGGAATTAGCCTGCAGCTAGAGAGGGAGAATTGGTAATGAATGTTTTTAATAGAATGGGTGAGATAGTGGAATGTCTAGATGGAAAGAAGCCAAAGGAGGGAGCATTTATTCTGTGCCGAAGAAGAGAAATATTGGTAGAACAAACTCTATCAGAAGTAGGGCGAGTATGATTCAAAGACGCAAGTGGAAGGATAGGATAAGGACATTAGGGATGAGAGAGATTGAAGAGCATGCACTATTGGAAGAAGAGGGGAAATGGTGAAAGACATTCAAATGAATGGTTTTGCTTTAAACTAATATAAATAATTAGCATGTTTTTATATGAGATTATCTCAAGAACTTCTAGCTTGTTCACAAGAGTTTCTACATTTAGCAAGAGAAAAAGATACTGTTGCTTACCAATATACCTTCCTTTGATTGGGATCTCACTCTTGTTCCATGCCGTTACATAGAATGAATAAAATATAACAGGAAAAAAAAAGCAGGGGATATAGTGTCTCCATGCTCTGTGAAGTGCAGCTAAAGGCAAGCTGGTTGGTATTTTTGTACTATGTCACTGGAAATGGAGCACAGTCTGCTGCACTGAAACACAGGATTGCTTCCAGTTCCCGCAACAACGTTCTCAGGATCACTGCTACGTCTTCAGAAGCTTATATGGATGCACATACTGAATTATTCAAATCACAGAAGCAGAATTTGTAAAAGGATGTGTATGTGTTATCCAACAGATGAGATTTTTACTGTTATTTTTTTTTTACAGATATCCAGATATTTGTTTTTTTTTTACAGATACAGATGTTTAACAAATATCCTACAGCTTGAATCAGGAGTGCAAACTGGGACCGTTTCTCCTTCGGGTAACATTGTGTAATTCTAAAAGCTATTACATTAGGAAAGGGCAAACACTTAATGTCAAGAGCTAAGGCAGCATTGAGCTAGAGCTGCAGATAAATTCCACTGTTTACGTGGTGAGAAATACGAACATTTTAAAGAAACACCCCCCCGTCTTTTTTATAACATTTTCAGTTGCTTTTCAGACTCACTGTTTTTTTTGTTCGTCTTAGACCATATGATGCCCTGACACTGGTCATGTGATACAGGTTGTAATAGGCACAAATCCTTTTGGGTAACAACAAAAGAAGAAAGAATAAAAAGAAAAAGCTGAAAAAAACCTTGGCACTTGGCAAAAGGCCAATTGTGGCTCTGTCGAAGGCTTTTTTGATCACTGAAATGACACATGCGTGCAATATTAAGAGCAGTTAAGATTTCATTGGCCATGGTTTTCAATTCTTTCCCCCAAAATATTGCAGTTCTGCATGGTTAAAGATATTTTAAAACTCAAATTTAAGGAGATTATACACTGAATATATGCACAGAACTTGGCAAAATAGATCTACATAACAATGATATAATTTAAACCTATTCTTTGCAGCTTCTTTTGCAGCTTCTCAATAAATCACAGGCTTTTCCAGCAAAAATGGTTTGGAATTTATTTCTGTGACCTACATTGAACTCAATCAAGTTTTTATTTGTTTGTTTGTTTGTCTGGCAGGGTAAAAAGCCTATTTAGATCATTCTGTAATTCAAACATAAATAAGAATGCTGTCTATGTTGCTTTTGAAGAATCACCATTATGTTTAGTATTGAGAATATGAGCAAAATATATTGCAATTGATTTAGCATTTGATTGCAAACTCATTATTGTTAAATGAGATGAAATGATTGAAATGTATAACACAGCCTTTAAATATAAAATATGCTGATTCCTTGTAGTTTTTGCAATATAGTATTTACATTATATTTTTGTATCTGTTCCTATATAAAACAGGACACCTTCCCTCCTTTTAAACTAGCAAGTTGGACCATTACAAATTAATCCTGACTTTAATAACTGGTTAAAGACCCCTTCAGCTCCATAAATAGGAAAAAAATATTAAAAGCCTGTGATCACAGCGAGCTCTCTCATTTCTCCTCTAACCATTTGTTATTTAATCCAATACTAGTAATCCAATTTGTCCATCAGACTTTTAAAGGGCAGAATGCAACTTCCCCAGCTTAGACACTTTTCAAAGTACAATATATTTTTCAAATGAATGCTGGATGTTTCATTTTTTCCCCCTCCTAACTGTTCCTTGCTCTAATGTATGAGGGGGGAAAAAAGAACAAGATGAACATTGTTCATACTGATTAAGTAAGAGCTCATTAAAGAGCTGTCAGTGCCATTCTCTGAATATGCATGAAGCATATAATCAGATCTAGTACCGTCACTAGAGGAGAATATGGTAAGTACAAAGAATTGATTTAATTACTTAAAGTGGGCTGTAGTGGTAAAGCAGTCTTGTTAGTACAAAAAAAGGAAAAAGAGGTTGTATTCTGGCATAGTTAAGGGAAAAAGGTAGTTTCTGCTTCTGCTACAATGCTTAAATCTCAGAAAAAAAGCACTTTGCAATGTAGCTTAAAATGAAGATTGCCAGTGTCCTGAAAAAGGCTGGAATCTTATCTTGCCTAACCTCACCTGGTTAACTATCTTACAGAAAGCACTTTCTCTCTTTAATCGTAATTACACTTGAGCTGTTTCATCAAATGGTCCCATAGTCCATTTTGCAAAAAGTCCTTGAAATCCTTTGTACTAAAAACAATTGCATTTGAAATGCCTGATTTTTTTCAAAATATTTTGATGGAAATTTCAACATAAATAAGGAATCAGGTGATCAACTTTACAGTATAATTTAACAGCCAGATACCCTGAAATAAAATATGAGACTTAAGTAATAGTATTGCCATTGTAATAAAAATATATATTTTCATTTGAACAATGATAATTACTTTACTGCAAATTCTTCATGAATTGCTATGCAAAAGAATTTTTTGATCTTGATTTATGGTTTTCCTAGTGAGAGCATTTTCCTGACTGCTAACTTATTTATTACTGTAGTGTTATCTGACTTGAAAATTAGCATTTTAATTTCTTTGCATCCAGTTTACTGTCTTCTTAATTAGGAAGCATTATACACTTATTTTATACTGAAAATCACAATTCCAACATAGCGATAAGGTAATGCTTCACTTAGTAGTACTTTCCAGAGAATTCTAAATTATTGGGAAGCTTTGTTCACGTTCAATAAAGGTTACATTAAAATTAATTCTATAATACTGTTCAGCAACTCAGAATGTGGGAGTTACATTCTTTGAACTGCTTTACTCCTTTTGGTCAATTTCATGACCAAAACTATTGTTTTTATTCATTGATTAAGAAGGCTTTATTTAGTTCACTGAAGTCTTGTGAAGACATTTGTGCTGCAACCTCTGACGAAAACAGGAGTGAATATACACATCACTTCTTCTGCTGATTCATGAGAATGTATCTTTAAAAACATGTCAATTAATTATTTTAATAACCAGTAATCTGCTATTTAATCAGAAACAGAAAATAAGCATTTAAAAATGTTATGCTAAATCAAGTAATTGTATGTATCTTTGTGCCATTGTTTCCCTTTAAAAATACAAGGAAGTAAGGAAATAATGACAAATGTAACGTAATTACAGAAAAGAGCAGACTATCTTAAGTCTGCTAAAGTTAAACTAAGTATAGATTGACCTAGATGCAAAGGTGGAAGGAAGTGTTGCAGCAAATTACAAATATTCCTTTGAATAGTTAGTTCAAGAAAAGCAGCAACATGTATAGACAGGACTAGCCTGTTGCATAAATAAGTGAGCACAGTAATTTCTCTACACATTATGTGATCATAAATCTGTCAAGACAAGCTGGAGAATGAGAATAACATATATTTTAAATATTTTAAATTGAAATGTATGTAACTATTTTCCTAAGTGATTTACAATCTTCCAAAGGTAAAAAAAAAAAAAGTTGTCTATCAATTTCCAACTCTTTCCTCTTGAAATGCCAGAAGAAAAATACAGATTTAGGGAAATTATTAGAGCGGTGATCACTTCATATTTGCTTATTCTGAACCTTGTATATATAATGTCAAGAAGTTCTTCAGGACACAGGCTTTGATAGCAAGGGGATTGTATACAAACAGAAAACCCTTCCACTCATTATAGTGCAATTGCCAATTCCTCTTTTCATATCTAGTCTTCTGACTCATATTCCAGATGCTTCAATGCCTTTCCCATTTTCAGGAATGGTTCATAGGGATGGAAGAAAATGTGGGAAAATTCTGTTCTCTGCACATAATTTGTTCTATGAGTGGCATGGAAACCAAATAGTATTAGATGCTTTGCTTATTTGATGATATCATTATCACAGAAACAGGTTCTCAAATTGAAAAAAAAACCCCTAAAGGCGCAGGGCATGTGTACATAATAAATGACTGACCTATCAGCTCATAATCAATTTTAGGAGAATGAATGAATCACATAATCTGTAGATATCCACAGAATTTATGAGAGGTTGTTAGTGTTCATACAGTAGCCTCACCAATTCATTATTTGCAGAAAATTAGATAATTTCTAATTAGATTTCAAAAAATCAAGTGGCTGATTTGTAGAATTTGAATTTAACATTCCTCTGAAACAATTGAAAAGAAAATGTTTATTTATTAAATTATTATTTAGCACATGATGAGAAC